AGACCCGGAGCAGTTGCCTTCATCAGTTGCCTTCAGGAGCAGTTGCCTTCATCAAACTTGGGCTCGCTAGACAGGTTCTTCAACTTGAAGTAAATGCGATGCCGGTTTGCGCGCACAGTGCCACTATTTCTGCTGTTTGGAGAGTAAAATCCTTTATGCCAATAAGAATTAGGGGTCCGCAGCCAGCTACCTTTCACGTTCAACGAAGAACGCGAACCGCCCCGCCGTGGTGGTCTAGGGGCTAAGGTACTCGGCTGCTGACCCGCAGGTCGCGGGATCGAATCCCGGCTGCGGCGGCTGCATTTCCGATGGAGGCGGAAATGTAGGCCCGTGTGCTCAGATTTGGGTGCACGTTAAAAAATCCCAGGTGGTCGAAATTTCCGGAGCCCTCCACTACGGCGTCTCTCATAATCATATGGTGGTTTTGGGACGTTAAACCCCACATATCAATTATCAAGAAGAACGCGAACCGATGCGGCAATCAAATAGCTTCAAAACAGCGCCAAGCAAAAGTGCCGCGTTGACCCTGTTAAGCGCAGCCATCTTTGTTTTTTCTACCAGTGTTGCCAGTACATGCAGCATTTTGGAGTCGCGAATTGTTATCAGGGACAACGACGCTTAGTTGCAATGTGCCACAGTCAAAAATACCAACCTGCCATAAAGCCACTACCCAGAGCTGTGGCAGCTCATTTCACAATTGCCAGTGCATTACACGGGCCTCAAGTATTTTCAATGGAGGCGAAAATGCTTGAGGCCCGTGTACTTAGATTTAGGTGCACATTAAGGAACTCCAGGTTGTTGAAATTTCCTGAGCCTTCCACTACAGCATGCCTTATAATCAGATGGTGTTTTCAGACGTCAAACATTTTAAATGTAATGAAATGCACGTTGCCCTCAATTGATTGAAAGGTTTATACAATTAATCTTGACCAATTAACAAAAATAAAAATGTCCTAATGAGCAACACAACAGCAAGGCTGAGTTGTCAGTTTAATTAAGTTGTGGTTAACCCCTCATTTTTAAAACCATAGTTCTGTTCCATAAAACTCCCTGTCAATACGTACAGCTTACTCATTCTTAATAACTCCACCATGCCAACCCTAGTTCTTTCTAAGCACAAAGAGATATGTATTAGAAAATGCCCATAAAACATTTTTTATTTATTACAGTCATCTAGCTGACTGTCCATTACTTACTGGAATCAGCCACTGGAATGCAAGACTTTCTCGAAAATTCTGAAAACAGTTTTCCCACTACACTTTAACATAACTCTGATATCTCAGCTTTCAAGTGCCAAAACTGCAATGTGATTATTAGGCATGCCATAGTGGAGGGCTCCAGAAATTTCGACTATCTGGTGTTCTTAACATGTACTGACATAGCACAGCACACGGGCCTCCAGAATTTCACTTCCATTGAACTGCGATTGACATGAAGGGGGTTTAAACACAAGACTTTCAGGTCAGTAGTCGAGCTGTAATCACTAAAATGTATACTTAATGTGAATTAAGGAGTCACTTCGATTTATTTTGCCAAATGTAAATGCAAGGCGAGGATTGTCACTGCCTCTATTCAATGCAATCTTATTTTAGGCATTTCTGCACTACAAATCATCAACTGGTTAACAGATCTTTACATCATTCAGTCAGCCCTCTTTTGAATTGTAGAATGAAGCAGTACTGCTGATAGAATAACTTCAACCAGGTCGAATGTCAACTAATATCCGGACAAACTATTACATCTGTTGAATTAATCTTAAGAATATACCCTAGTTGTCTTCTATAGTGTCCATAGCCTCACACAAAATTCTAGAGATGCAATGGCATGCATCTCTCACATCTCCCTTTCTTTATGCACATAAATTTTCAAAGCACTATTTCACCAATAAATAAGATACGTTACTGGGCTTCATATGCTTAGTCCCCTAATGGAATAGCACGTTATAGAAAGTAGTTTAACAAAAATATATCTTCCTTTTTAAAACAAAAACATTACACTGGCTTTGTTCCCCTTGAGAATTTAGAATTGTTGCTTATTTCTAGTAAAAAAATTTTGCAAGTCAGAAAATTATCAGTTATTATAGTAAACTTTAAATGCAGTAGCTGAATTATCCCACTCAATATATATAATAAATGCAGGTCTATAAAAACCACCAGAGTATAAAGAACTCAAAAACCTGAGTTTAAGCTGGCATATATGTAACACACAATTTAGAGCACAATAAGATCACTATAAAAAAAAGAGTAAAAATGCATCTCTTCGTCCCACAACAATAATCGTCAACCATATCAACCATATTGCGTTCTTTTCCTTGCATTATCGGCACATGTATAATCGACACGCACGTTATCCGCATCACAAAACATTCTTGATAGCAAAGTGGCCACCGCAGTTTTCAAGAAAGGAAGTGCGAACAAGCCACATGACGATTATTGTTGTTGTGGGACAAAACACCGTTGTTACTTGACCTTTTTTTTTAAAGAGTGATGCATAAATCTAGCAATACAAAGCTCACTTGGCAAACGGGACAAGACGATTAGTTGGGAAGCCACTGCCATGAACACTGCTGTCGATATTTCCTGCATGGACGCAGACATGCCGCCGCTGGTCTATTACCAGATTCCAGTAATCTTTCTGAAAAAAAAAAAAAAAAAAAGAACAATGTACCTTTAATTAGTAACATAAATGTCCAATGCACGGAGAACATTCCTCACATTCCACATACCAGTGTTCATACATGTTTCATCAATTGAAACTAAATTCTATAAAGTGTGGCAATGCCATCATCCCCTGTAAAGTCGTGTGTCGCGAATTAGCCGCACTTGTAGTTCACAGCCGCTCAGCAGTAGGTGGCACAGCACTCGCACATGATCTTCACTTTCATCATCATTATGGTTAGCGCAGTAGCAACAGCAGCGACATCTGACGGCGAGGCTAGGTGGCCGGACAGAAAAAGTATGGCGCCTCGAAGTGAGAGCACGCTCTTGAAACATACGAACACAAGAGACGCGGTTGAACAAAACTTAAACGAAACATTTATTGAAGTAAGTTTGCATTGACGATATCATCAGCCAAACAGTGGACATTTTAATGCCATTCAAATGGAATGACAATCACATCTAATGACATATGGCTGCTACACAAATATATAATGCCATTGGAATCAATGGCTCAAGCAATCGAATGAGTTCGAGAAACACATTCGCCTTTGCAGTCAAATTGAATGTATACTCTCTAATCCGGAGACTACTTAAAGATGGCATTCTCAATCCGACCCAAATTCATGAAAACACACGTTGCTTTTTGAGGCATCTCTTACTTTTACGTGTATGTTGCTTTTTGAGGCATCTCAATTTTATGAGACCAGGCGTACGGAAGGCTGCTTTAAAATATTTTTGCTCTCCACCTCAGTGAGGTCTGGCCGCCGGCGTTCTCCTTGAGCAGCTCCTTGAAGGCTTCGATGGCCTCTTTCTTGTCCTTGAACTCGATAGGTCGATCCTTGTTCTCCTCTTCATCGCTCGACTTGTCTTCTTCTTCACCACCCTGCTGCTGCTGTGGAGGTTGCAGTTGTTGCGGCTGTTGTGATTGCTGTTGCTGTGGCTGCTGCGGTGGTTGTGCTTGCGCCAATGCCTGCTGAGGCTGCTGCGGCTGTCCAGGCACGCCGGCCGCAGGCTCTGGCAGCTGGATGTTGGCCACAGAGTCTTCCTCCTTGCTCGTTTCTCCCTGGGCTGCAATTGTGGCTTTAAGCTCTTTGAGCTCCTTAGGAATGGTCCACCGTGACTCCTTCGTAATGACATTGTGGAAGTATGTACGCCCAGTGTCCGACTTGTACTCCTTCCAGGGGCACTGAGACAGCAGCAACTCTGTGTGCGTCTTCAGTTCATCAGGCTTCTCCCAACTGGACTGTTTAGTGGCGTGGTTGTAGAAGTAAGTGCGGCCGTCGGGAGCCTTGTGCTCTGTCCAACTGCTGCTCTTTGGTGCTTGTTGGTTGGCGGCCATAATGTAAACAAGCAGATGCCTCTGTGCAGGTGTGTGCATTTATCTCTAGTGATGGCATCAAGGGGGTTATGTTTTTTAAATCTCATGAACAAGTCTCTTACGACTTATAAACGTTTTTAGCACCGCCAATAACAAAGCAACTGAATTCATTACTTGCTGCAGCTTGGCGTCATCGTTCAGCGGCTCTACCATGTAAGCGGTATTGTTTATGTTCTTTCTATCAGCTGTAGCTACCGGCTAAGCGGATCGTTTGGTTTATGTGGCTATATATTCTGCTATATAAAATTTCTAAGCAGCTTTGTTTAGTGAGGCCACTTCCTGCAAGTCTTTTGAAATAAATAACTTCACTTCTTAACCACTCTACAGTTACTCTCCGCAGCATTTCAGCCATTCTTTTCTGAACTATCGACATTGGCATCACAAACGAATGGCATTAGCTTTCCTGTGTGGCACCACCACAGATCGAATTACATTCGTTGCACCGAATTAAATTTGAACTTAATGACATTAACACCTGCAGAGCAATAAGGGTATTCGTGGATGCACGAGAGGATGGCACACATCAATGATGGCACCTCTAACATTTTTTTTTTTCTCAGATTCATAGCATACAGCACATAGTGAGCGAAAAGATTGGGTTCTAGAGGGTCTAAAAGGATCTGAAATCTAGAAATACATGCAACTTTTGCCATTTCTAATTATCATGTATGCTATAAATTGGCATGCACTACAATTTTGTAATAAGGGCACTTTCCCTCAAGTCTATATTTAATAATTTATATTTAATTAACCATTTCTTTTAATTAGTCACAACAGTGTCATGGTAACTGGGGTAAAGTATTTCTGCCACAACGTGGAGTTCGTGTGAAAATGACGGGAGCCTTACCGTCATAGGACGTTTGTTAAACCTCTGTACTGGATGAAAAAGGAAATACCCTGTGCTTGAACTATTTAGGAACATCACCGCAATGGCACAATTCACCAGGAATATCGCATGACTACTATGGTGATGAAACTTTTCTAATGAGAATTATATTTTTGTTCTGGGCCCAATTGAAAAATATACTGCCACCATCATTGGCAAACCGATGGGGGGGGGGGGGGCTAGGAATCCTTCCCTAAGTGCAGCATGGTTCTCAGATGAAATCTAATGTAAATTCTTTCTTTTCCAGTTGTCATTTCAATCCCAGAAGTGGCTTGAGGGTAAATTCCCTGATTTATTCTAGAAATTATGTTGTATTCACATATCTACGTCTAAACTGAAAGCGCATAAATCGCATTCTCTGTGGCTTTGCTTTCACTACCAGTGAATCAGCTTTGCGTGAAAAAAAATGCTTTCTTGATGGTTCGTTGGTCTGATTCTTCTTGTTTTATTCTTGGTGGAAGTCTAAGAGGGGCTGTGTAAATGACAGTGCCCTGGGCGACTTGGCCATAGGCTTCGGTGCACAGAGCATGCGACCTCAAATCTATTTCGTCCAACAGCTCAACCAGCTGTATATGCAATGTTACATACATGTGTGTTCAACACAAGAGTTGCAGTGTTGTCTTACCATTTATGACGTTATTATCCAGTTCACACGGCCAAATCTACTGCATTGCCTTGCATACATGCAAATACCTGCTTCACGTGGATGCTCCTAATGCAATTAAAGATTAAGATTTCAAGTGCCTGGATACCACTAATTCATCGGCTTCACAAGGCTTGATTGAATGACACTAAGGGCATGATGACGAAGTTGCAAAGTAAACACATGCTCATGTTGCTTAAATGCACAACTTTTTTTCAAATAATAAGCCATGAAGCTAATTTTACAAAAATAACAAGTGTTTTCAAGTTCATTCAATGGCCCTACTCGCTATGGAAGCAAAATGCGATTAAGTATGGTGCACGCTTTCAGTTTCGATACCGGTGGCAGTCTCATTACTTTTTCCTGAATTTTTTATAAGTGAACACCAATTGTGTCCGTTGTGTAGCTTGTTTCCTTTAATAGTAAACCTAAGCGCACTATTGCGAAAAATATTCTTTTGCATCATAAATGAGCTCCTCAAAACACAAAATGAAAACGAAGGCCCCTATTCCACGGCAAACGCGTGTCGCCGCTATTATTCTCTTTAGATTTAAAGTCTTTCCAATTACCACTACTGTTGACGTGCAAACGGCATATAATTTAAATTGACAGGATAAAATCAACATAACTATTGATTTTCTAAAATGAAAAAAAAGAAGAAAATATTTCATGCACTTGTACCTTTCCAGAATCATGTGCAAGTTTTCTTTTTCTTGCCTCATCACAATGTTAAATATACATACTTTCTCATAAATATTTCACTATCTGGAACTCTGAGTTCGTGTCTGCATGTCGCCACGACAATATAACAATGAAACCACCGAGAAACATGCTTTTATTCCATTCCAACCATAGCCGTATCTTCTCAAGGACTGTCGTTTCATGAGATACTAAGTCACATTTATTCTCTCATCTAAATTTATTGAATGAGTACTCAGTTACCCTTTGAAACAGGATCCCATTGTTGCTTTTGGATGTTCTCACAACCTGAAAATAAAACTGTGCAAATACACCTACACTAATTGATATTCTCAGCTCACTTCAGACCACCCAAATATCCGCGATACATCAGTAGTAAAGACAGTAATGCAAGAGCCGCAATCCACTGCAGCACACAAATTAAAAAAAAACACGCTATACTTTGCAATCTCGCCAAAAAGGGTTGCCCAAGATTCTTTATTCAAAATCAATTCCTTCCAAAAACACAACCATGCAATCTTACAAATGCAGAAACAGCGTTCCCCCTATCAACACCATGACAGAAATACATCATTCTCAGTTGTTCGAGGCACCAGTGCAACCATCGCCCGTTTGAAGCAAACTCGGGCGACGGACCATTCGTGGAAGGCAGAGTCCGGCGATAGTTGTAGTGTACATGTATCCCGAAAGATTACAGCCACTAGCGTGGGTTAGGTCTTAGCGAGCCGCAGAGCACGCGTTAACCATCGCCGTGGCGAGAAAACGATATTTCTCAAGATTGCAACCTTTTATTGTCTGCGGCAATTCCAAAACACACTACAGAGCCCGTTGCAAAAGGTGCGGCGGGAAAGAAAATGGACTTATCCACGGCACGGGCAAGAAGTACTACACAGGGGGTGCCGCAAGCACATCTCCGGGGTAAAAGTGATTCACGGGGACACTGGGACAAAGGGACCAGTTGCTCGAGCGAGGGCGAAGAGAGATACGGTCAGTGTAGCCTGGCCACGCACTAGGACACCGCACCGCTCTTCAGCCTAGTGTTCGCAAAGGAGCAAAAAAGGTGATTCGCCACGAGCGCCATTGGTGAAGTCCAACGAGCCCCCAAACAATAGGAGTCAACAGACGGAAAGAAATGCGTGCTCACTGTAAGCTGTCCAAGAGAAATCTGACTCACTACCGACACGCATGCGCAAACGTCCTGAGAGACCTAGCGCGCGGCGCCACAGTCGACATCCGCTACCGGTTGAGAGGGGTTAAACGTCACTCCTCGCTCGCCGCGCGGTAGACCGTGGAAGAGGGGAGTCATGTCGGGACATGAGAATGGCAGAAAAGGTGGCAAAGCCCGCCAAAGGCGGCGGGCTAGCCTCAATTCCCACACAGTAAAGAACACGAGAGGCCACTGCTCTCGCCACACACACATGGGCAGTCCTAAACAGGAGATAAAGCCCAGGCTGGGGCCAGTTCTAAACTGCAAATGACTTCAACAATAACCACATGTACGAAGAGCTGCTGAAGTACTCGTCTACCGAAAAAAGAAGAAAAAAAATCTCGCCGACTCCTCACACTCTGAATGTGTTGTCTGCAGCCGATGATGGGGAGGGTGGTTCGTGCCTCCCCTCTTTGAACTCTGAAGAGGAACCGTATGCACTTGAAACGTCGGGACAATGCCCACTCAAAGTTCTAAAGATAAGAAGGCATTTTGAAACATATGTTTTCTGTTTTCTATTGGGCTTGCATTTCTGCTGGCAATGGTGTCTACAGAAGTATTGTCGTGAATTTTTTCATAGAGTGCGGATGTATGATGAGCACTGGAGCGACGTGAAGATAGGCGACCTCGCTCGTGGCTCGTTTATCAAAGCGGCCGCAAACCTCGGGGGCTCTACAGCACCACATGACAATATTAGTTTTTAGCCCATATGTACACTGTGGTTCCTGCATTTCTGAGAAAGCGTTTGGGCAATAGCGTGTTTGGCATGGCCAGTCACCCGGCAGTATCGCACACACGTAGGGACCCCAAGCAATCAAGACTGCCAAGCGATCCCTATAGTTGCGAAGAAGGGACCAGTAAGACGCTATGGCCTAATGAGAAAAAATGGCTTTGTGAATTTGTGAAAGGTCTGTTGGGGAAGTCCATCTTTTCTTTCTTTTCTTTTTTTAAAAGCCATTTCTCACGCTCTCTTCTATTACACCTTCTTTTTTGCACGTTGTACACTGGACGAAAGCAACCTATGCGTACGTTCAGTTCGCTTGCTACAACTTGCGTTCTGTGTCGCTGTGCGAAGGTGCTTCGGCAGTGCGCTTCCAGACAGACCACAAGCATTGCGGAAGGGCCAGTCGAACATGATCCTCACCGACTTCCCGAAAAAAATTCCGCATTAAATTGAAAGACGAGCAGTAACAGCACCAAAATGTTCAATTACGACCAGAAAGGCAGCGATTACTCGGCACATACCGCCAACAGCTAAGTCGATTGATTAGTCATCACTGAGGATGCTTCAGTCGCCGAACTTGAGAACACGAATGCCATTGCAAATCGGTAAGCATAGCTATAATGCAGCTGATCCATAAGGTGAGAATTTTTCAGCATGTGCGCTGCATTGAGGTGTACGTACCGTTTATAATCAATACGGCAAAGCTTATAATCAATATTTATGTTGCACTTTCATACTTGTAGTCTGACGGTGTTTAGAGGAAGTTCAATATATAGATTATTCTGTTCGCATTATGCAGAAAGTTTTCAGCTGCAGTTCTTTAACTGCTAAAGTTCCCAATGGGGCTTGTTTGTATAGCATTTACTGATTACTCAGGTAAAAAGACAAACTCCACAATAAATGGGACACAAGAAAGGCACACTGCGCCAGGTGTGCCTTTCTTGTGTTCCATTTGTTTGCTCTGCTATAGAATTCACATCCTTTTTAAACAGCATTGCACAAATGCCACCGGGCCGACATGCCAGCACCCTAATCACTTACGGCACTGACAATCTGAGCAGTGCTTGGAACTATGTTATGCCTGGTTTTATTCGATTTGCCATTTATTTTCTACGTGCACTGCTTCATTGAATGTTTCTTGGCCCTCTCAAGTTTTTTCATGGTCACGTGGTAAAAACGCTTAGGGATCGTTGTCATAATCATCACATTAAACATTATTATTATTATTTTATTGCATATATCATAAATGTTATAAGAATTATTTGGTATCTACTCTATTAATTTATCTCAAGTTTTAGCTCCACCCCTGAGAGATATCTTGGTGTGCTAATGGCTCCAATGAATTCAGGCCAGCAAAAATGATACGTTTTTGTCAAGTCTAAACAAGGGGAAGACATCACTGATACAGTTTGCATATAAAAAAAAGCAGACAGAGAGAGAGAAAAAGATCTAAAACAAAGCAATTACATGAACTCAAGAGTTTTATACAAAAGCCAGTAAACCTGAAGTATGATATTATTCAGAGCTCTACTGCTCTATACTGCTCCATGCAACTAAAGGAAGACAACGCTGAAACACTTGGCACATGAAAAAAAAAACAGAAAACCCCTATAATCAGAAAGTCTCATTAAACCATAATCAGACAAGATTAAGAGAAGAGTTATATTAAATACATTTAACCTGAGTCATAAAATTTGCAAATAAAAGGCAATGTTCACAGTGCAACTGCATATGATTCACATACCTCAACTTCTTCGGTTGAAGGTTCATGCTTGTACCACATGGACATTGTGTTGCGAGCCCTCTAGAGAACACACTTAATGAAATGTTGCGTCCCTGAAAAAAAAAAAAAGAGGAAAACCTGAAGGTCTGGACTAACTTTCCATTCCTATCTGTAATCTGAAATCTTAAAAAATATCATAGTAACAAATTGCAAAGAGTCTTCCAGCATTTTGTGCCATCTGTTTTACTCACAAGTATTAAAGGCACAATTAATCTTTACAGAAGCGTGAGTGACATGAAAGAGTGTGCATGAGAGAGAGAGAGAGATTGGTGCCTTGCGTGTGTTGCTTTGGTCCGTCCATGCTGGCGGTTGTCTCATGCGCCCGTGCGAAGCACAACTGGCAAAGTATCTCGATACCTTCACAAAGCAAGAATAAACAAACATAACAGAATATAAGTGGCCTAACAAACACAACAAAAGAAACATGATTAATACATGCTTTGCATGCATAATTTCCACAAAGTACACCTCTTATTTAGCCATAATACCAAGCAGAACAAATACTTTGAAAACAAATTGATTGCTCTTAGGTGAAATGAATGCATGTTTTCCTTCTCACAGGGTTATTAACCATCAGGCAAATGGCATTCACACTCACACAAAATGCATAATGCTCAAATCCAATTCTAAAAGGACAATGTTACTGCACAAAATGTCATCACAGTCAATACAATTGGTATTCATCACCAGTACAATGACAATGCAAACAAAACAGCAATCTTCGAAGGCATTGCACATCAGTTGGAAAAAGTCTTATCACAATTGCTTCTAAGCAGGCTCATATTTGCATGCTATGACAATGAGGTAGCATGATTTGCCCAACAAACTATAAGAAAGGGCTCGAACGGTGGCTAACACCAGTATATTTTGCCAGCAAAGTGTTGTGCATGCATTTGTAATTCCCATAATACTGTTGAGTTGACAGACAATTTCACTACAGGTGTCATGTTGTGTGCATGAAGAGTGGACATGCAGCACCAGTAAGCCTGTGTTGCTCACACTGCCAGCAAGCGTAATGGTAAGCTGAACACTTACTCTCTTTCTGTTATAATTAAAATAAATTCTGATAACAGATTTAAAACATTTCACATATTACTTCTCTGACTTAATACTAGTAAAGTGCTTTTACACTTTTCTTGGTACAGATTAGAATTTATATTTAAGCAATGTGACCCCCCCCCCCCCCCGCCCCGCTCTAAAAGTATGCATTAAGTACAAGTTCAAAGAACCATTTTTTTAATGCATCAGGGAATATTCATACATTACATACCGTGATAAATATTTTCCTTTCATAATTGTTGCCAGCTGGTTAAAAGAATGTATGGGTAATACGAAATCTGATTATTATGTTTGAAAGGGCACATTCATGTTGCTGATACTATCAGCAGTCCTTTTAAATCATGCTCATGCTTCTGCATATAACTAAGAAAATGTTTCATAGCAGGCAGTTTGCACCAGTGCATTCTGTAACAAGTTGGACAACCAGCCCAACTGTTAAAATGCAGTGCATGCACATGCACACAAAGTGAATAAATCAAAGGAAAAACTATCCATAACACACAAATTAAAGCTGTGAATGTGTACTGTAACCGGCGCTATATCTTTTCTAAACTAGGTGTCAATACTAGTGGGCAAAAAAGCTTCATATATGTAAATGAAGACCAAAATATTGATATAAAATCAAGCACTGCAGAAGAGTTATCTCGTTCAGTCAGCACATATTCTTGAAAGACGCTGCACGAAGGTGATATGTAACACACAAGAATGACTCTTACAACTGTGTTTCCTATTATGCCAAACCTGGGCACATTTAAAAATTACTTTATTTGCCCTATGAACACTATGCCACTTAAATTAGCTGGGTGTGACAAAATAAAAAAAAGCAAAATAATGTGACAGTAGCACCATCTAACTGTGATCGAGGCAAAGAAGACTTGGTTTCAAGTATTCCGTACTCTCCATCATGACAAAGCCAACTGATTTCAATTAATTAAACTTGCAAATCACTTGCGGTAGCGTGAATATGACAGCAGCTGCTGTATACGCAAAAACTTAAACAGCTGATAAGCTCCGTACATGCAGTGCGATGAGGCACTGCATGTGTGGATCGAGAATTTACTGTGCAGTGGTCAAACGCCGAACGCCTAAAGCCGACCCAAAGCGACAAACTACGATGCCTCGATTCAGCCATAACAACTGCATTTCTGCTTTAATGAAACAGAAAAAATACATTTTACATTTGCCGTAACATTAGTTTGTATACTGCTGCCACTGCATGTTACTATGTGCTGGCCCGGACTGCCTGACCTGCACATCGACAGCCTCCTGCTCCTCTTTGTTGCTTGGAATGGGAGGCTGATAACTAATTTCTTGGTAAGTTGGTATGCATCAACAGAGGTGAACTCATCGCTGGTAAAGCGACACGACATGAATGCATTCTGTTTAGCTATGTGACAGCATGCGGGATTCAAAAGACGGCGAATGGCTGGCCGACTGTCAAATGAGGGAGTCATAACATCACGTTCCAACTTGCGTTGGCCGAGTGGCTAGGCACACACTCATAAAAGTTAAGCTTCATTTTTAAAAGTTGAACGCAATAGAGACATCCTGTTCCTACAATGCGTGCTTCAACGACTTAGTGCATGATATTACTCGACAAGTTTGTACTGTGTACTACTGAAATGTAATCGATAAAGCTGAACGTTTGTTGCGGGAGTGAAGCTTTCGCATATGGTAGCATTCTGTGTAATGGATAGCATACTTTAAACCACCAGCATTTACGCACGTAAAATGTTTTTGAACTTGCTATGCACCCACTACGTGGTCGCGTGCAGTAATGTGAGTGCCTTTTGTAATGGGTAGCTGGCTTTAAACCACAAAGTTAGGATAATCCCATGTTCAGATGGCCAATGGCAAAGTACATTTGTACCACTTGTACCACGCAATATTACTGAGATATTACATGTTGTATTGTGAAGCCTGTATTTTACACGTGGTAGTATAGCATGAACATTATTTTCACTGAATTTCCAACGGAAGTTATTTTAACTGTATTTCCAAGCAGATGCCTGGCTGCGAGGTAGGACGCCTGCTTGCCACGCAAACAACCCAAGTTCGAACCTCACTCAGGCCCCAAAATCTTTATTATTCATTTTATTTGCACCTTCCTTGACTTTTCGGTCAGGCACAAGGTGACTTTTCGATCACAACCAATGACGCCCACGCCAACGAAAAATATTTCTGCCAAACGAGCTCTTCAAGTGATCACATTAAAACATAGAAAATAAGACCAGTCACTTAAATGTTCTGTAAAAATGACCTCTTTCAGATGCAACCATACAGTGAGAATTCATTTTTGGCATTCTTGCTAGATTTTTGTATTTTGGTTCGGTATCTTTTTAACTCATTAGTAATGCCTGATATGAAGAGCTGACATTTACAGAGTCATATTCTGATTCAGCAGTCAAAGCAGCGATTCAGGGGAATCGCCACTACTCCCTTGTGAGACAAACTCTGTAGTTGCGAGTGTGTTCAGAAAGCAAAAACATGTCCAAAACCTATAATAATAGTTTGTCTGCTCGCTAACAAGACAGAAGAGAAGTTTTTGCGAGTCCTCGAAGCAGGAAAAGGAACCACAACAGCATTGTTCATGTCAGTCAGTGCCTGCATGGAAACAGCTTCAATCGTTTACCGAAGAGGAATAAACGAGAGTAACGAATTCGCCATCTTTTGAAAGCTTCTAAACCAGAAAGCTGCCAGTTTTGCGGGTGCAACAAGTGAAAACTGGCGGAAGGACGAAAGTGAAACTAGCCGGCGCGCCACTGTAGCAGAGCATTAAAAAAAAAAAAAGCAGGGAGACCCTGGGCTAAAAAAATTTCAATGTATTTCCACAATGTGCCAACACATGCCAAGCCAGAATATAGAAAAAGGCATGCTTTTTAAACATACAGAACGCGCACATAGTTTAACCATCTTGAGGCTGTTAGCAGATGATGTACATGTACGTTTTTGACCCTCAAAGGGTGAAAGCCATGATCCATCATTATCTCTATCAACAGCAACATCAACAAGGCGGCACTACACGCCGCAGGCGTCCCTTAATTCCTAAAAAAACAATCCCTTCTCTCTAGACCTTTGGTAATCCTCAGCCCCTCAGAGTTCGCCCCTGCCATCCACAAAACAAACAGATTTGTCCCCGCACAGATACATATGCTCACTGCCCTTCCATCCTTCATTGTGAGAAGGAGCACTCGGCTGGGAAGAGAGACAAGCCACTAAAGGTTCATAACTAAGGAAAAAGCAAAACCAGCGAGAACCTCTTTTGAATCATTAAATGCATGTAACTCCCCTATTACGACACCCTTTTGAAAAATTCTCACAGCTATGTGTATATTGTATACTGCTTAATTTCGGCCTCAGGTGGTTTAAGGGCCCTTTAATACGACTCACATAATACAAACTATATTACAATCCATCACCATCACACCCTGGCCACACAGTTCTTTAGCCCAACTTGCACGAGCCCTTTCATAACCTCAATAGCAAAGAACAGATTGCCATGACCTTTGCTTACAGTAATCATGCTATTATCATATGCAGACATTACATTTACAAACAACATTTCTGTAGTGCGAAACTGAATATTCTCACAACATACTTTTTGGATGAATAAGTACACCCGACAGTATTTGAATAAATGTGTGCATATTGAACCCCGGCTCTGATACATTGTGATGATCTAGTAAGCACCCAAAGAGTTTAAGCCAGGCTCTTAGAGTACGACTGTGCTGTGTTCAAAGTAGGCCTGAATCTTATTCCTCATGTGGTAAGTTCAATCCTTGAACAAAGACTTCTTTGACTGCTTAGCATACTCAAGATTCACCTGTTCCAGAGCTTCAATAAAGATTCACTTCGATATAAAGTGGACCCTGCCAATGTGACCAGCAGTGTTGCCATATGAGCAAATAAGATCTGCTGGATCGATGCTCATCTACTACAGCAAGTGGATTACATAGCCAGTCTTAGCTGCATTGCTTAAGATTCAATGGTTTTTCAAGAGAAAAAAATGGTTTGAGAACTTTCAAGGGACTAGACAGCACAATTTTCAAAAAAGCTTTCAAACATTTCAAGGACCTGTGAGCACCCTTACAGACACACCAACAATACATATTCATTACTAAATGGCCTGTTTAAAAAGGGTTCAGTAATATATTTGGGCATGTTGGTTCAAAATCATAAGTAGAATACAGTGCTAGAAGACTCCCTTTTTTTCATCCACTTAGTGCAGATGTAATTTGTGACCAGGGCATGGATATGTGACATATATTAGAATGCATTTCATTATTCTCCTGTGCTTGACTAAAGGTGCAAGCAGCTCTCTGTCCTGTTATCATTGGTATTGTCTAGTCAGGAGCAGTAAAAAAAAATCTTGGCACTGCCCCTTTGTCTGGCTGCCTCCCACTGGTGGATAAGAATTGAATCAAGTGAAAAAAATCCTTATACTACAGCCTCGTTCAAAATGTCCCAAACCATGACATTTTTCAAGTTTGAGTGACTTCTACCACTGAAACTTTCCACGAAATTGCACAACAAAACTCAAAGGACGCACACTAAAGTGCAATTGGTAAAACACATGTTCTGGAGCAGTATGCTGCAAAGGCTTACCTTTGCAACACACTCATTACTGAATTCGTCCTCCTCGTCTTCATCAGCTGATGTGGACGAGGGTTCACTTTCAGCAGCCATTTGACGTTCCCTGTCAGCCAGAACTTGACGCTCAATGGCCTTCTTCTCATCGGCCGACAAGAGGTCATAAGGAAGGACAAACTTGCAATAGGCATCATCCACTTTTGACACTCTATCTTGTGCCTGTCAGTAATGGAGATAAAGAGTTTTAGAAGGAGTTTAACAGGTCATGACAAAAACTTTATCACATGCACACGACCAAAAAAGTAATGCATTGACTATTTTTGAGGACATAAATCACAACAGTCTGTCTGATACAACAGCCATTATCTGACAAGAGGTTTAGAAATATAGAGAGTTGAGCTAGCCGCTACATCGTATTCATGTTAAAATAATGGGCGTGTAAACGCAGACAAAAGAGAAAAGAAACCACCACGACGTTTATGGTGTCTTGGTTTCTCTATTTTGTCTCTGTTTGCACGTGCAGTCTTTTAACATCATACGATTGGTAACAAACCTTGTAACAGGCAAATGTAGCACAATCCAAAAGGATCAAGTTCCACTTTCCCCAAGAAAAACAAACTACAGTTATTCTGCTAGCTGGCTGCTCATGCACCCTTTATTTGCCAATTTTATTACGATTACAAAGCTAAGAAGTGACTAATTATTGAACTTTTTACAACTACTAAAGAAATGAAGATAGAACAAACCAATAAATTGTATAGACAACTCAGCAGGCACCAGATATACTCATCTGTCCATATGTGGGATCAACTGCTAACATTACACATACACCATGCATATTTGCACTAGTGGATTAGTGTCCAGTTATATATATAGCAAAACATGCAAGCTGCACAAAATCTAAAAAGTATAACAAATCAGTACTTAACAGGCAGTTCCTGTGTCATACAATGGTTCCTCTTCAGGTCAATAGAAGAACATGATGGTCAGATAACTACAACATATCTTAAGAGCCTCATAAACTGAGAATATCAAGGTGCTTCCAGTGCACTTGTCTGAATACAGTTAACGCCTTGAAAATACCTTTAGTGGTCGAACATCTCTTATTAAACTGGAGAATGCTTATGCTCTGCCTTTCAGAGTGGAACATGATAGCATTGATGCAAGGCTTCATGACATCTCGCCAAAACACACGTAATGGTGTTTCCAATCCTCATGATATCCAGCTGCTGTGCGATGTCAGTGCAAACAAGGGCATCAGAACTGTACAAACCCAGTCTGTATAAACTGTGACACTGACCTCAAGGTCAGACAATGCATGTGCTCCCTATGCCCACTTTCAATCTGTTTAAATCACCAAGCCATCATGGCTGTTTGGGTAGCGCATGTCTTACATATAAAGGCCTGGTTTCAATTCCTATGCCATCCCGAGTTTTCCCAATTTTCTTTCGAGCTCTTTTATTTCACTTTGCTTGCAGGAGATCATCTGAGAAACAGGCGTAAATTTGAACATGCTTTAACCTACATTCCTTGAAACCTTTCACTCACGATAATACCAGCTTTACAGCAACACAACATCCTTAATAAAGGAACACTAAAGTGAGATATTGAGTCAGTTTAAACTAATAAATTTAAATCTGACAATTCTAACATGATAATTTCACTCACATATTTAATAAAAAAGAAAGTCAAGGTCATAAGTGTCATTTTAAAATTTTACACCGAAATCTTTGCAGTGATATCCTGATCTTTCAAAGCACATTTATCATTATTTGAGAACATGGTTCAACAAAATTTTCTAAAATGTATTGGTAGGTTAAAGAGCCCCTAATCCACCTAGAGTCGAAATGCAGTTGTGGTAGAAGTTGTGCACGATCCACAACCAACACATAGCTGCGAGTTTTTCGCAGCGGTGCCATAATAGGAAAGTTGGATGCATTTGATGATCGAAATGCCGCAATCGCTCCTTCGCTCTTTTCTTTGCAACCCTCGACTGACCTTCTCTTAAAGCCGCTTTGCCCACCTTACCGAGTTCTCCTCCCAATCTCACATAGCATTTTCACTGCCGACGCGCTGTTCGAAACGCTGGCTACTTCCGGTTTCCGTGATTTTGTCAACTATGTGCTTGTTAACGAACCACTGTAGCTGTGCCGGCTCGTGCTCTCACAAACTGTGCTGGTATGGATCCTGTGTTGCACCATGCCTTCAAAGGATCTTCAGCCTGATGGATCTGTACCTAACATGCCGTGCCAGAGCACCTTTGCGCAAGATGAGGAGCCGCCGACAGCTGCTTGCAGACTAACTGGAAGTTGTAGGTCTTGTTGAACCAATCGCAGCATGGCTTGCGCTCCACATCAGATTCAACTTTGTGTCACCACGTCACTACAAAGGCCATCAAAATAGTCTGTAGAGGGAAAGGGATTGTTTCTTGGAATTAGTGCAGTGCATGTGGCCTGAAGCACTGCCACGTGTGGAATCGTTGATTGTGACGGCATTCTGCACAGGTGTGCGTGTTTACTCGAAATGTTAAAAAAAATATCTGACGTGGTTTAGAGGCCTTTAAACCACCCCCGATATTTTTTGAAACATTTCAAGTACATAAACACACACATCGTGTGCAAATGCAGTCATGATCAATGATGCCACACATGGCAGCGCTACAAGCCACGAGCGTGCCACGAATTCCTAGAAACAACCCCTTCCCTTCTCCGGGCTTTTCGGCCTCTAGAGTAATATGTGCGATGTCAACAATCTATGATGCGGTCTGAAAACCATGCTGCGATAGGTTGAACATGAACCTACGACTTCCAGTTTTATTGGCAAGAAGCTGTCCGAGCTCCTTCTGTTGTTCGTCATGTTGTCCACGTGTGCGCGCCTGCAAATCGGCAACTGCGGTCTAACACATCTATCAAATTGTTACAATACTAACACAGTCACACAGTCACACTCATAAGCTGCGCAAACGAATTTGACAGATTGTACCGCCCCACATTGTCACCACGAATTGGGGAAGCTGCTGACAATGGCACCTCATCTAGAGAGAGGTGCTTTAGCATGGTGCGTCACCACACAGTTTCATGTTGTCGATCTTTTGAAGGCGTGCATGCAACACAGGGTCAATACCAGCACAATTCATGGAAACACGAACCGGCACGACAACAACAGCGGTTAGCCAAGAAGGGCGAGTTCATGAAGTCGTGACAAACGGAAGTGTACGCTCTTACCATTGGTGCGATTGGGAGAGGCACTCAGCAAGGAGAGCAAAGCTGCTTTAAAAGAGGAGACAAGCTGACAAGCAGAGGGTAGCAATGAAACAGTGAAACAAGCGATCGCCAAATTTTGACGATCAGACGCATGTCACCCTACTGTTACGCCACTATTTCAAAAAATTTTTATGGCTATGTGTTCATTCAAGACTTGCACACAACTGCTACACAATAACTAAATTCGACCTCTGGGTGGTTTAGGGGCCCTTGAACTCTTGAAGCAAAGAATTATAATTGTTCTAAATATTCAATTTTCATGCATGAATTGCAAAAAAAAAGGTTGCAAAAACGTAACGGACGAAGGAAGAAAATTGCTGCTTGTAATAAAACTTCCACAAGGTGGTCAGCAGCACTGACCACCGTGCCGGGAGGGTCTCAAAGTACGTATTTCAAATGTGGTCCTTTGCAATGTAGAGGCACACTCCACACTTTCCTCCTTTGGACATCATGTTGCATGATTTCAGAAAGATTTTTCTTCTTCTTCTGAAGGCACACTGATGTTTGGTACAGCCAAATTGTTCTCAACTCTGTCACTACCGCAAAAAAAGACCATTTTTAGGTGTCAAAAAAGTTTTTGCGGCTAGATACCGTATTTACTCGATTCTATCGCGCCCTCGATTGTAACGCGCACCCAATTTCCACCACGGAAAAAAAAAAAAAAACATCGATTGCATGCATTTTTCTCGCTGGCCCGCATGATCACCCACTCGAAAAAACGACTCCTTTCGGGAGCGTCTTCCATTTAAATATGAGGTACGGGCGAAGTTGTGCCCATCTGACGTGTAACAGAGCATTGCCGTCACTGTAGTTTTACCGTGGACCGATGTCAGCACGCGAACTTGCTTTGCCCCCTTCTTCTCGACGTTGTGGTGCCAGGCACGTCGAAGTAAAGAGGCGTCTGATCTGCATTCCCGATTTGCCCAAGCAGGTAGCCGTTGTTGCGCCGCAAGTTTAGGATGAACCCTGAAAACTGTGAAGCTTTTCATCGTATTCTTCCGCAAAACTTCGCATATGCATGTTCCCCTTCGGAAGGAAAAGCCTTTCCTCTTCATAAAAATAGTTAGCCAGCACCTGCTCGCTTTAAACTGGCTCCGCATTAGACCTTTTTCTAAGACTAATTGCATAGCCCGCACTTGGAGCAGTTCTGTCGTCACGGGCCGCTGTGCCGCTCGCTGCTCAAGCACATACTCGCCGAGCAGCTCTTTAATTTGCGGAAACCGACCCTGCTGTGGTCCACTGAAGCCTTGCGTGAAGCTTTGCTGTTGACAATCTTTTGCTTTTGTTTCCGCCGGTCCCGCACGCACGTTTCGGGAACTCCGAACGACCGCGATGCGGCCCGATTTCCGTCCGTTTCTGCACACGCGATGACTTTTCTTTTAGAAGCGGCATCGTGGTGCACTCGAGTTTTTGGAGTCAGCCCTTCCACGCCATCAATGCTAATGCACTACTAGATGATGAACTCCTCAGCACACGTACGAAGTGCGGCACATGGGACACATAAGCAGAAATGGCCGACGTGCCATGCCGACGCACGTAGGGGCGGCCATTTTGGATTTGCCGATGGCAATAGATTGACCGTAATTTTTTTGTTCATACTCGATCTAACGCGCATGTGATTTATGAACTCACTTAACAGGAAAAAAGGTGCGCGTTAGAGTCTAGTAATTACGGTAGTTACGGTATGCCTCATTTGTATTCTTTGGTACCAAGCTATAGCTAAAGGAATGTTCTGCCCAATAACACAAACGTTGCATATATATTTGTTACACTCATTAAGAAAAAACGTTCTTTAAAAAGTTTATACAGAGATTATATAACTAACGCTTTAAAAAACAGGATAACATAAAAAATAATCAGATGAAAATATTCAAGATATACAGTTAGAAGGTTATTTGCAAAAAGTTTGTACAAGTTTAAAAAATCCACGCCCAAAAAAAGTTGTCATACATTATTGTATTCACTAAAGGAATGAATAAAGAAATAAATTAAAATGAATTTACTAAAAAGAAGTTTATAGCCTCACGAATTCACTGTCACAAAAATTTTGAATATGTCCAGTACGTGTGGAGTTACACAGATTTGTGCACGTTGCAATTGCATTCTCTTTCCTTGGTCCCGACGAAAGCACTGGAAGCTAAGCAGGAAAAATGGCACGGGGAAGAAATACATCACGTGCATCTCGTGACCATACAGACTTTTTTCTAACCTTTTTTTTTCTTTCAAATGCACGGCTTGTAGTGCCGTCGTATGCGCACATGCAGAAAAGTCCCGGCCTCGTCGTGAAGGCCCCAGTAACATCTGAGCGCGCCATGCTCAAATCAACCAATGGTTGATACTTGGTCTGTGACATAGCGTTTTCTTAGTTGCTAGTGCCATATGTCCAAAAAAAAAAAGGAAGCGATTTTTCGCTGACTGAGAATTTATTGTAAATTCCAGGCCATACGCTGTGCCATAATATTTGTCTTGCATGTTCTCGGAGCCTCAGCTACTTATCGACGTTTATGGGCATGATCAAAAAGTGTTGCAGGGCCCCTTCAAGTTTATGGCCACATGAGAGGATGATGTACTTCGATTTTACCGATTAGGAACCATGTAAGCGCTAGAAGACGCTGTCAAAATCTATAAAAGTCATGGCAATTGGTGCACAAATTTCAAGGAGGTGTGTCATCTGCATTTTTTAACTTTTTTCACTTACTACGAGTCTTCTCGCAGCAAACGTTGTGATTTTAGCAAGCAAAAAAGTAGTTTTTTAATACGAGAAAAATCGGTTTTCTATTTAGTGAATGCTATAATATGAAAATGTGGACAAATGAACGAGAAACATCTCGCATCAAATATTGTACTTTAAATTTTAGGGGCGAAGCTCCTTAGGGCGTGGGCTGTGCGTCCCCTGTAGCCTGTATGTAGCCACCTCTAGTTTAGTTCTTGCAGTGTTCACTAGATGGCGGTACCGTCCCCTGTATGTAGCCACCTCTAGTTTAGTTCTTGCAGTGTTCACTAGATGGCGGTACCGTCTCCTGTATGTAGCCACCTCGTTTTAGTTCTTGTAGTGTTTACTAGATGGTGGTACTTGTAGCTGATGATGAAAGATGCAAGATGTTATAAACTAGAAAGCGGTACTTGTAGCTGATGAAAGACGCGAGATCTTATAAATAGGAATGATGTCACATATGGCGCGTGTCATGGTTGAAGGCAATCGTTCGATTTAGTGCGGCGACGTACGCTAGGGGAGCGATGTAATAAAATCGAGTGGGCGAAATGTAGAGGATTCATGGTTTACCAGGTTTACCTCCGGAGCTTCGCCCACTCATCATCATTCACTTCGTGGATATGGCGGAATTTTTTTATATTATTTATGGTATCATCCGGAAGTATGAGCAAAAGAGGTGAATGACAGCAGAGACTCACGCTTTGGGTATGTGCATGGCATCAGCTACCCTGTGCCATTTCTTTTTTCCATCACCTGCTGCTGTGCCACCAAAGTTCTGCACTGTGTGGTACAGATGAACAAGTCAAGCTCTATTCCTCCAATCTGAAAAAAAAAAAAGGAAAAAAAAAACAGGAACAAAAGATGTAAGCTTTATCTAGAGCTATAAAGCCAAGCTACAGAATGCGAAGCTGTGACATGCAGAAAAAATCAAATTATTACCAAAGGTGGCTGGTCATCAGTGATGCCCTGGTTAGTGAAACAACGCTTGATGCATGCCATATGTTGCACATTTGGCCCCCACCTGGCAATTGCAGCAAAAGAACAAAAGTGACTGTACACAAGCACTTGCAGCTTTGCACTATTGTTAAGCACTAACGATCACTACGTCAGAACCTGTACTCAAATGCAATAAACAGAGGTCATTTAGATGTTAGATCATTTTAGACATAACACAAATTATCAAAAAGGCATTGTTTAAGCACTGAAACTAAATAATCTGTTTACAACAATGTACTGACAGCTGACTGCACTTGCTGGCAGTCAATGCCGTGTTTACCAGCTGAAATCGGGTAGTTGCTGTAAGTATGGTAAACCGTGAAAGTCGGACCGAGTTTGCTGTAGTAAATCCATACATGTTTGAACCGGTCGGCACTTAAGGGCGACGGCTGAAGCGGCACAAAAAAGCGAATCCCAACCCCACCTTCACCCGTGTCAGAAACATAGACTGGTATGTATAAGATGCTTGCCAAAGCTTAATTTCACTGCAGTAAACTGTTATAAATGAAACGCTTATCAGTGAATATCAATACAATAAGAAACGGCAGCATTGGCATTCGCATTTAGCCGCGTATTGGCACGTCCGCGCTAGGCACGGGCAGCGTACAGAAACATCAGCTGTTCCTGGATTTCACAGCCAAGAGTGCAGCGTTGTTAATGCAGTCAGTATCGTACTTTGCATCGGGCAAGGTGCAGAGGATGAGTAAGTAGACTACTGTGAGAAAAAAAAAAAGAGCCAGATGAGTGCCACTCGCAGTGGTGATATATGCTCGGAACTGTGCTGAAAATTGCACAAGAATAGTTTGGCTCATATATTGCAGTTCTGATCTTTATAATACTGTCGCTTCTTCTAAATTATGCCCAGTACTACATTGATGATGTTTAAACTGCAAACGATTTATAGTTGTGCTTAAAGCATGCGACTGTCGTGTAGAATAGCTGATTCGATTATGCGCACTATCTTTGTACACGTGTTTTCACCATAGTTGCTCATGCATGCACTGTGTAAATGGGGAAAAAGGAGAAAAGCTGATGCTGCCTCGAAATTCAGCACATTTGCAACCACCACAGCGCGCTTCATCTCGTAGGTTTGAAGTACTTTCTTTTAACTACAGCAGCCCATTTTGCAGCTATCTTTGATCCCGAGAAAAATTGTGCAAAGCAATTTCACGCGACCAAAAGTGCTTGGTAGCAATATGCCATGCTGTAATTGTGAATCGCAAGTCCATTTTGACCCCGCACAAACACAACCAGTGAATGCCGGATGGAAAAAACTGATCAGAAGAAGAGAATGGTGTAATGACAAGAAATCCCTACGAACTGGCAAAACTGATGTTTTTCCAGGCAGAAGATCGCAGCAGAAAAGGCACAACCGCGAAGTAACAAGCTGAGCTGACGAGCGACGCAGGCGGCCCGGCGCAAAGTTGCCCGCAGGGCGGCGGCTAGACCCTGACGGTGACGTCACCTGCCCACTGTCTACCTCTCCCGTGCTGCCTCCTATGCCCGCACGCGTGTCGGGAGAGCGTTCCTTTAGTCAAAGTTTGCTGGCTTATAGCGCTGTTGTTTAATCTAACCTTCCGAAGAAAAAAAAAAAACCCTCCGTGAACATGTTTAAGAGGTCACGGATACCGAATTCACAAAAATTCGCGAATTCAGAACCTATTCAGTGTCCCTTTAACGCAGCCACGAACTGTCAGTAAACTTAACATTACCACAGAATCTATTTCCATGAACTTTTCACACTGACTCTTTTAAAACGGCTAATTTTCAGGTCGCATATTGCAACTTAGGCCCAGACTAATGAAAGTTTCAAATGTCTGGATATTAAAGCTGTCGGTTTCTTGAAAGAAGGATCACTTCATTGGGGAGGTAAGAATTCATAAATAGTAAACTTTATAGAGCACTTATTAAATAAAATTAAAAAATAACAAGTGCTTAACAAAAACTTGACCAGATAAACAATGAGAAACTGCAAATTACCTGCCAGGTAAATTCATTTTCCTATTATATCAATGGCTTTTACATTATAATATAATATCAGATAGTTACCTTGAAAGCATTTTGTGAATGTATTGATTGTATGCTGTAAATCGCATATCATCAAACACCTTGCATTCAGGCTGAAAAAGGAAGAAACCGTGCCATTATGTGAGCTGCAGACAATTAAGGAAGCAAGTATGTAAAACAAACGTTGAAATCTGACATGCCACTGCAAGGATATTAGATATATATAAAATAGACAGCAGAATGATCCACAAAGATATACATATATTCTGTGCACAAATATTTTTCTAGTATTGTAAGACTAATATCCTGCCAATGGAGATAAGAAGAAATATACACCATGAGCCCAACACAGAAATTATGCACTTAGTTATATTAATGTATAAAAACATTGTTATAATTACTGGAATTCTGCACCATACCTGCCTACCCGTGAAAAAAAAGAATTTAAACCATGCACAAATAATGGAACGGATGAAGGCATTAGAACAGTCATTTTTTTTTTCAAGGAACTGTTAACCATTTTTACTGATCACATTTTTCTTTTAAAGGCCACCTCTGGTGATTTTTTTTTACTACGTCAGGGTGGTGGTGCTTTTTGCTCTTGAGACACCCTTGTCACGTGCCCGATAGCTGAGATGCTCAACGAATTCAAAACAATTTTAATTAGCGAAAACGCAATGCTGAAATCGAACCCAACCAAGTGCGCTTCTAAGTATGACGTACTTTGCCCTAACCTGCCTGGTTGTGCATAAAGCCACCATATGGCCCTTCTGGCCCAGGATGTTTAAGTTTGTGCCTGCAGCGATCGACTAAAACGCTTAAGCTGTTATGGTGAATAGTATATGACGAATCTGTGCAGTGTTGCATCGCTGAACGTCAGACATCCGCTAAAAGGAAATGAAAAATCCGCCAGATTCCGCTAGATTCTAAAACATATCCGCTAAATTTCCCGCTAGGGCCTATTTTATTCAAAAAACACTGCAATTTCGTATGATAAATACCTTTATCATTCTCAAAAGCTCCCCAAACTTCGAGAGCTGAAATAACATATGCCGCGAATAGTCGTTCAAGGAGTCTAACTAGAACACTTGAGGCTTCAGTGCTGCGGTCGTCGTCATTGGTGAACCTCATCACAGATGAGGCTAAAAGTTATAAATGTTCACACTGATAAAAAAACTTACAGGTCAACGAAAAACCATCGAGTCTTCGTCGCCGCTGTTGTCGTCTGACACCATCTCCACAGGACCGCTGGTACTTGTTGAGGGACCAGACAGTCACTTGTCACATACGTTGCAGATGTCCCGATTGCACTAACAACTGCCGCGGGAAGTTCGTAATCACAATAACTTTTCTGGTGTCGCTTCAGCCCCGCTCTTACGACGAGGATGGCATTGTTTTTTCAGGCTTCAGCTTGTTCCTCAGCTTGGATTTTACTATGTTGAGCTGACTAAATGTCCTCTCTACTTCGGCATTTGAATACGGCAGCACGAGCATCGACATGGCAAATCCGGCCAGCTCGGCGAATGGGTTTTCGCCGCAGGCGTCCTTATAGGAGTGAACTTCACACCAGAACGCTGCGTGGACGATATTTGCTTTCCAGTCCAAGGGTGATTTGCCCCACTGTTTTGAATTTTTCGATCGTTTCAGGGGGCACTGCCATTGCTCCAGCAGAGGAATCAATGGCTCCTTCACGACGCACAAAGCTTTTTCGACCGATAAGATGATGTTTTCTGGAGAACTGTGATGTTGTCGGGAAGGTCGCTGTCTGATTTGATCTACTAGCGTGGTAATAAACCTTATGCAGCTTTCTCGCATCACAGCTTCATCTGCGACAGAGAACTCGTCGGTCTTCTGAGCTTTCATGTTGTCAACGTACGTCTCAAACAGGTAGCCCAGATATGGCTTGGGATTCAAGTGGTCCTCAAGTCTGCACGTCAAAACGTCAATCTGCTCTGTCGGAATTACGACTTTTTCAACCAAGCTTGAAAGCAAAGTCATGAGGTCTTTCAGCAGCTTTGTTTGATCCGCATTTTTCGCCTCGAATGCCTTGTTAACCTTCTGAACATCTGTCAGAATCGGTCTCAAAAAAGGCAAGTACCCCAGATTGATCTGGTTTTCGTACATCCATACAGCACCTCTGCCGCATAGCACTTTTCAGTGCGCCTTGCAATCTTGAAGTGCGCCTTCAATTCGGTCCACTGGTCTATGACCCCGATACGGCTATTTCGAGGGATAGCCATCGCGTCCTGCACGCTTGCACAATCTTCAGTGGTTCATCGCCGTCATTCATCAGACCGTAGAGCTTCTTGTACGCCATTTGCCGGACAGGGGATCTTGCGAACCAGTTGTACGTTTCGCTTATTAGGTATTCTAAGATTCTCGGCAATGCTTCCGCCGTAGCAGCCGACGTGGCTAGCTGCAAAGAGTGGCAGACACAGCGTATCAGTACGGGTGGGGAGCCTCAGCTTTCAACTTCCGATGAACGCCATTATTGATACCCGTCATAATGCTAGCGTTGTCTGTCCCTACGCCTCTCATCCTTTCCAGTTTAAGACAGTACTCCTCAGAGTGGATTTCACGGCCGCCACAATTCCATCTGCCGTGCACACTTCCAGGTGCACAAGTTAAGGAATGTGGTCATGATCCTTGACTTGGTGACACTGTGATAGATGATAGAAATGGCAAGGAATTTTGTGACACTGATGTCGGTCGACTCATCTATGATCAAGCTGTAATAGCTGTCGCCAATGTCCTGTGCCAGATCCGCCTTGAAGTGTGGGCCAAAAACGTTCTTAATCACGGAACGCACTTGGAGCGGCGCATTTGATACGCTCTTGCAGCTTCGCTGTCAGGAAACGACTTCTTATAGAGTTGGCACAAGTGATCGGCAGTCATAATTGAAGAATTTTCGGCGATAAATAGAGCAGTTCTGCCCTCAGCGGCATTCCCTGGTTGGACTTGCCTTTTTGTAGTGAAGCCCAGTTGCTTCTGAATCGAAGAACTGCCAGCCAGTTCCCTATGCTTCTTGGTGTTCGCATGAGCTTTCAGGTCCGAATATCTGCTGCCTAGTTGACAGCCGCAGTGCTTGCACGCCGCAACTTGTTTTCCATCAGCAGACGCTTTGCACTCCAGCCATTTGCTGAGTAAGGGATCCTTTAACCACTCGTCCTGAACTTCTGCGAATATACCACTTTCGGCATAACTCAAGAGGAAGGGGAGTCAGGTTACACGGAGAATAAACAGAACCGTTTTTTCGACACAAAGCAGCCGGACGTCTTCGTTCTCTGCAACTTCGAACGCAAAAAAACAACTGGTGGCTACTTCGCCAATCGCCTTGCTTCCCACCGGAACTACAGGCGCCCCCTGCCACTTGCGGTGCAAAAGCGAGCCTGCTCCCTGCACGATAGCGGACTCACTGTTTGCACGGCAAGCGGCAGGGGGCGCGCAGAGTCCACAGATTGGTGCATCGCAGCTCGTCCGTTGTTTATTTGGAAAGCGATTGCCGCTTTGAAACCTCACGGATTTGTTTGTCTGAGATAGGCGGAGCAAGTGAACAGGAGCCTCTGAAGTTAAACAATTTCCGCATTTTTAGAGAAAACGGGAATGGTTTTTGCAGGGCGATTTTGAATTGGTCCACTGCGTGAGGTATCCGACAGAATCCGCTATGTACAAAAATGGCCCGTCAGAAAATCCGCTAGCCGCTAGATTGATTTTTTCCCCGTCGTAATAAAATAAAATCCGCCAGATTTAGCGGGAAATCCGCTAAATTGGCACCAGTGATCGTGTGCAGCCCACAACGATTCACGACTTGCCACCTATCCCACGCCCACAAACACGGAAAAAAAAAAAACGCACGCCACACCATGGAAGCGCTGGGCAAACCCACACAATCCGTAGCAGACAAGCAGACGCTGCTGTGGCACATCAGTTCTGTCACACCATGCAAAAATCAATGTCCCACACACAATGTTGCCATTTTAATTCTTACAAACGAGATGAGCATTTGGAGGCAAGCTATGAAATTCGTTTGAAAAGAATGTGCAAAACTTCACGTCGCAATTTGGCATAAATGGCACAAACATGCAAATGAACATACCCACCTAATTTCATTGAGATCCATTGACCTAAAAAATCGCCAGAGTTGGCCTTTAAATTTAAAGCACAAGAAGCTTACCGCGGCAGCCGCATTTTGATGGAGACGAAAATGCTTGAGGATCAGTACTCAGATTAAGGTGGACGTTAAGAACACCAGATGGTCAAAATTTTTGAATTGCTGTTGGGACATAAAATTGTTGTTGGGACATTTTTAATTGCTGGGGACATAAAACCCTAATAATTAATTAGCAATAAAAGCTTACTAGTCATATCGTGGTAATGCAGAAAGTGGCAAAGATTTTTTATTCTCTATTTGCATGAGGATGAAGTTATATGCTTGAACCACGCCTGAAACAGTGGCAGATGAGCTTCATTATATGCCAGCATCAACGAGAAATCATAGATGGCAATAGTGCCGTTTGTCATATCACACAGGCACCCATTTGAGAGCAAGCCTGTGAATCGTAAGTACCAAGCTCATACAAAAACGCTCAATTTTGCTATTATATATAAGTAATAGCACCGGTCTTCTATGGGTCTGCCATACTCCTCGGTTTTGAAGCAGCTACATTTGACAGAATGAACTTTTTGACACCTCATCAAACACATAAGATAAATGCCTCCCATGAAATCCCAAGCAAGTGCCCCCCCTCCTTTAACAACTCCAAATCAGCGCCGAAGCAGGGAGAGAGTGCTTTCCCGGAACGATTCCAAAATTCAAGCGGCAGCAAAGTCTTCCTACCAAAGAAAACTGCTTTGCACATAAGACTTTTTCATAAGTAAATGGCTTCCCAAGAACAGTGCGGAAGCTTGAAATTGGCAAGGAAATTAGAGGGAGCACTTGCTCAGAACTTTATGGTATATTGACATAAAGATGCAATGTTAAGTACTACCAGGTATGGTGGACCTGAACTAAATAACAGACAACCACATATAATTTTTCAATGCCTCTATTGCACACTACTAGGCTTGAGCAGGATGGCATGACTTTTTTTTTTAGACTATCTGTGGCAATTTAAAAGTAATTCTACTTAAATCCCGAATAATGTTATCACTTCTATAGCTACAATCAATGGTTACTTCATTTAATCATCTCATGACAATTTCTAGGTTGTAAGTCCTTGCAAACACCCATATCAAGAGACTAACATATAACACACAGCTTTTCCAGTGCAGTGGGTTCTTCCGCCAACACTGTTGTCAATTTTACCTTCCACAGGAACTTTTCTCTTTTGCCAGACAAGAAACTCGCACAAAGCAAGTACATCGGTGGTGTTCTTTACAATTAGAACAGTTCCCAGAGCATGCTTGCAAATAACAAGCACTGTTTTGCCACAAAGTTTTTTTTTAAAATGACACAGTCCTAAAATTACAGAATGTACGCAAGTTTGTAAAATCATAGTAAATTCAGCAATGCTGGCAGATATGCTGCACTGCTTTTCAGATGCCCAATGACTGCAGAGCTACATTGTTGCAGCACCTCAATGTTGTGCTTAGTTATGGACAAAAAGTGCTATATTCCATAGAACAGTGAACATGAACTGTAAAATAATAATTAGATATATATGGGGATGAAATACTGGGCAAGTTATTGCAAATTCATCATAGCTAGCAGTGCAATTAACACAGAAGACAATGAGAAATGTATACTGCACAGCACTGTCTTTCAACTTTTTACACAAGAAAGACAGTACTATGCAGTTGGTGTCAACTTCTTTGTCCACGTTAATCGCACTGCTAACCATGGTGATTAAACATATGCTTCTTTGGCAATACAAAATTCTAGTTAGAAAATATTAAGCATTTTGATTAACATTATTTCAATAAAGCATCCAAAATGACGACATAGGCATTCTGACAAGCACTGCTATTAACCAATTGATGGAGCTACCATGACTGCTTTTTTTTTTACTGCAGTTACAACAAAGTTCAAAGCAGCACAGCAAATGAGGCAATAAACCTACCTGAAAAGATGGTGGCAAGACAATTTTGCAGATGCCAAACTTTTCTGCTTCTGGTCTTATCTTAGTAATATAGCTAATAGGATCCCGCATTTCCTCTGTGTGGGCCTGTATGTAGGTGCAGCGACAAGGCACGCTGGGTCACTCACACTTGGAAACTTTTTGCTGTCCAAAGGTGTCAGTTTGACTCTCCTGGTATCCTCTGAGCCAACTTTGCCTCTCTTTGAAGTCCCGGCCTTGGTAAATGTGAAAGCCATTTTGGGTGAACAAGACTTTGAAGCCCTTGCATTGCTCACTCTTGGATCAACACTTGTACCACTTCCTTTCACACTGCTTGTACTCAAATTACTTGCCTTGGTATCACTAGCCCTGGCATCACTCATAGCATCTGCACTCATGACACTAGTCTTGGCAACACTGGTCCTAGGAACACTGGCTCTTACAGTTCTTACTGCTGCAACACTCGACTTTGCTACCCTTGGTCTTCCAGCACTAGCCTTTACAACACTGGCATTTTCGGAACTTGTCCTTGCAGCACTTGCCTTCATAACACTTGCCTTTGCAGCACTTGCTTTCGTAATGCTTGTCCTAGCAACACTTGCCCTGATCCAAGTGTTGGATGAGTGAGCCATGCCTTTGCATTGGTGTAACAACAACCGCAACTTTGGCAGCACCTGATACATGACGCCCTTTTGTTTCTGTAACAGCTTTTGCTACTCCAAACTTGGAACTGGATGTATGGGTAGATAAGGAAGTATGTAATTGCATAGAACTGGCCCTCGAACCAATTTCCGAAGTTGGGTCCACACTTGTGCGTCTGCCCTTGTATCGAGCTTTGTGAGCAATCTTGAACCAGTGCAAGATGTTGTGATGGTGATGATGTAGGTTTCGATTTCGGTGATGCAGGCAATAACTTCTGCATTTCAGAGCTGAACTCAAGAGCTGCCGCACCATTGGTCTCTGAAGCAATAAAAGAAGCCTCCTTGCAGTTTGCGACCGTTAGAAACCCTTCTTTGTTCAGCACATCCGCGTCAAAGATGCCAGTCTGTGTACTAACAGAAACTTCCTCTGGCATCACGACGAGTTCCTCAGGGGTTGAGGGTGCACATAAAGCCATTCCTTCTTCACTTGTGTTTGTCGACGCATCAATTTTAGATGGTGTATCATCTCGTTTTAGAAGGTTCAAGCCTCCTTCGAAAGATGCTGACCGACCATCTTGGGTGCTTAGACATGGCACCAGTAACATTTTCATCGAAAGCACCGGAGAACTCACTTGTCATTAAACTCTGAATTTCCTGTGCACTGCCAAAACTCAAGCGACACGACATAACTTGGGAGATTTCACCAGCAAGGGCATCTAAGGCTTCCACACCTCCTGACATTGATTCAAGATCATCAAAGTGTGCTTGAGTATCAAGGGTCTCCCAGCGTCTGCAATAGTTTCAGAAAGTGATGATGGCGATGGCTCCGAAAAACGCTCAGATGACAGGCTAGTCTTGAGCAATTTCGACTTGTCAGCTTCAGAGGGTTTACTTTTGTTTTTAGCTGGTGCTGGTTTTCTGCGTGAAAGCATACCAGACGGTGGCAAGGATGAAACACCGCATTTTTTAGCAGAATCAGATTTGATCTGTAGTGGATCAGAATCATTTTCTTTTACTTTATCTCGTAACCCAGCTTTCTTTTCTGTATGGCGTCGAGCCATTTTAATAAGAGGTTCATCATCACTGTCGGAAAACACACGATTAGATAAAGCGATACTAGTGCTGCCTTCTGTTCTACGTCTCTTTGCAACAGTAGCTTTCTGTGCTTCTTCAGAAATTCCAACGGATGCTTTACGATTTTGACGTGGATATTGCGCAGAAGAAATGTCATTCCTCTGTCTCAAACGTCGTGTATCCTTCACACTCTCGCTCGATGGCCTACGTGATGATCGTTTTGCTACACTATCACTGGGCCTGAGTAACATGCCCTTTTTGGTCTCCCGGTGCACTGCTGTTGCACTCGCTCGTGACGAGGCTGGCAACAACTCACAGCCCTTGGTCAAAGAAGCTTTTGATTTAGAAGCGTTTGCAGCAAGCTCATCCATTTTCTTCTTCATTGCAGTAGTGCCTGAACGACCTGCTCCACGTTTTGTTGGTAGAGCCAGAACAAGAGGATACTCCTTCACAGGACCAAGGCTCCGTGTTTTCCGTCTGAACATTGCACACCTGGTAGCCTTGCGAACTTTCAATGATGGCCTCATACTTGTTGTGGCACGACTAAGCAGCCTCCTCGCAATAAGTGAGGTAGTTGGCTTTTTCTTAGTTATTGGTGCTGAAGTATCAACTTTGGCCTTTGGCTTCTGTGGTGCATTGAGAGTCTTACTTCCTGCAGCTCGTGGCCTTGGCTGAACAGCGATAACAGAGGACCTTGGAGGAAACAATGGGGACATGTCTTTTTCACTTTCAGATTCATAGTCCACAATTGGTGGAACCATTTTGGCTTTGCGTAAATGTGGTGTAATCCCAACTGAGTGTCTACGTGTCATGACACCAGCTGTCATATTTGTCACAAAGGGATATCGTAAGCCAGCTGCAACACGTGGGTGAAGACGTGTCAGCTGAACACTGCTGCTTTTTTAGCACTAATCGGCTCTTGGCAGCCATATCTTCATCTTTAGATAGTATAGGGTGTCGACTTGATGGCGCACTGGTTGGCTGTTCCCTCAGCTTCACGCATGAATTTTTTACTGCCCCCTTTGAAGTCAAGTGAGAGGCTTCATGGCTGGCTTGTGATCTGAGAGCATGACCACCTCCAAGACCCAAAGCCGAAGGCTTTCTACATGATGCAGACTGGTGCTTGATCCTCTGCTGTTTGTACTTTTCTTGAAGTGCTGTCAAGTTTCCACTTGATTTTCTATGACTTCTTGATGTGCTGCCAGTTTTATACACATTCTTCAATTTTTCAGATGCAGCCTTCTTTTTGTCTACTTTCTGAAAATGGACAATACAAATTGTATAAGCATGCTTCCACATATGAAAATTAATGCTTTGTTGGTATCAGTCTTGTTAGGTATCACGTTCATGTTAAAATAAATGTACACACACCGACCAAAAGTTTGTTGTCAGGAAGTTTAGGCAGTTTTCCTTCTGTACAAAATAATTATTCACAAAACACTTTCTGCTTCATATGTCAAGCTTCACACGCTTTGTATTTAACACAAGCTTCCGGTGTACAGTCTAGGTGGAAGAGTTCCATTGCTTTAATTCAGGTCTTCCCCCCTCCCCCCCCCTCATAGCCTGAATACAAAGCCATTTTTATCTTCCTTGTTTTGCACCTCTCATACGTATAAACAGCTTAACCTTTGCAGTAAATTACTGGCCCCTGTTGAACTATGCAACACGGCCGCAGCAGTCTGTGGTTGGGCACTGCTTGAGAAGTTCTTTGGTGTTTGATTCACACGTGCATTTTCTCACTGCATTATGCACCGCATCTAAAAGAGCCAGCTAACATGTTTTTTTCAGCTTTGCTTTCATTATTTCGGACCAGAACGAATAGACAGAGAACAAAGGTTTCAAACCAATGGGAGTGAACAATAATTTGGTGGTTGGCATCTTTATTTATTTTGACATAACCTCAACTATCAATTTTTAAGAAATTGTTACTGTAGATTAAAATCAGAACAAAAGAAAAGTGATTTGCAAAAATTTTTTACACAGTCAAACGCAATTATAACAAAGTAGCAATGGGACCATAAATTATTTTGTTGCATCCAATTTGTTCAAGCAGCAGGGATGAAAATTGGTTTAATATGGCTCGCACAAAAATCCTAGACACTGAAATGCCTTATTCAAGCCTTCAAACCATTAGCTATGCTTTTTCAGACACTGCCATAGAACGGACACCAATAGAAATTAGCATTTTGCTGCACCTTCTTTTCATTTCCACCACTCCAGTTGAGGTTATAAAAATCATAATTTCCATTCGTATGCACATATCAGAGGCACAATATCTTTAGAAATGAAATTAAGTGATTATCTCAAGCAATTGCACAAACCAGTCATTATACTAAAATTTGATGTTGCATTTGAATTTGCGAGTACTGCCCCCACTTGCTACACCTGCCACTGTTCACATGCTATGCCATGCAAAGTGCATTTGCTGAAACAACACATATGCGTAGGCTGCCTAAAGGTGACTCTCTTGTACTGAATGTATGAAATCTATATTGAATGGGCCCTGCAACACTTTAACATAGTCATAAAACAGTGGTGATCGTTAGACTAGGCTCCTGCGAACATTTTAGCAAAACATTATAGCGCAGCATGTGGCAGAAATTACGTTTCCAAGTCACCTAGCATTAAGGCACTCTTGACAAATTATCCCACAGACTGGCCCAACTATGACACAGGTAGAAACACCGCCATTAGCTGATCTGAACATTCAAATGCTGCATGGTTACTACACAGGCCACATACTTGCGCAGCCTTCAGCAGTATCAGTATTACACTCTATAGAATTATACTAGCACCTTACACAAGTAAGCTTGTGTCTGAAGTGATACTAAACAGAAATATAAAAAAATGGCGAAAACATCAAACTTCTAATCAAAAGATACGGCTTTTACAATAAGCAGAGTTCATTTCACATATTTTTAAACAACTGGCTGTATTTTCGGGACATTGTCATAGTACGGCGGCGCCACGCCAGCGCGAGCTGCGACATCAAAGCCATCATGGCGGATGCAGCGGGAATGTTTTGCCGTCGTGCTACTTTGCTTTATCTAACTCGCCTTTACTTCCCACTCTCCCTCTTTCAGTAAATGCTGAGACATGCCCCCCCCCCCCCCCCCTATGAAATTTACACTACCCGGGTGCATTGTCCACTGCTGGTGCCATTCACGGTAATTTCAGGAGCCGTGGTGGAAGCTGAGCAAGTTCACAGACATGGGCGATGGCTGGCATTGTTGGAATGCCCCTTTCCAGTGATGTTATCTTCATTCCCTCTACCTAGTTTACGGTGCAGTTGCTAGGTCAAGCAGTTTGTGAAAACGCACCAAATTCATTATTTTTTACCAATTTCTGTATGAAGTCAAATTTGTGTCCATCGATATCAGCACCATATCTCGTAGTTTGGCTAAAAATCTCGGTGGCGAAAATTTTGTTCAGTAAAATGTCCAAGGTCACGGCGTGCACTACTGCGGCTTACTTTATAATCCACCTGCATAACTTTCAGCACACTCATTGTTACAAAATGACATGGACTGCACTTGAAGCATGTAACAGATCTCTGTAGCTCTTCCTTCACATATTTTACAGATTCAAAAAAGTTTGCAGCAAGCAATTTGTGAAGCAATAAACTAGGACAGTGACATAATTAGGTGATTGCCTCAAAAAGTGTTGCAAGACTCCTTTAAAGACGTCTTGAAACACTTTTTCAAGTAAGCATGGAATGCATTCACTACAAGAACTTATTGCCTCACGAATTCAACGCTGCAAAAGTTTTAAGAATCCGTCTAGTACGAGCGAAGTTACAAAGATTTGTTACATGCTGCAAATCGATTCTCTCTTCTCTCATCCCAACAAAAGCGCTGGAAGCTAAACAGCAATGGATGACAGGGGCAAAAAAAAAAAAAAAAGTACGTCACGCACACCTCGAGACCTTGAACACTGTTTTCGTGTTTTTTTTCCCTTCGAATAGGCGGCTTTTTTAGTGTGATCACGCGTACTCGTGTGGCCAAGTGCCGGCCTTGTGCGGCGATTACTGTAACGACCCAGCGCGCCATGTTCAAATCAGCTAATGGCTGATAGATGGCCTTTCTACAAGTGATTTTTGAGCGTCTTCCGCCATTTGTCGAGAGAAGAGAAAACATATTTTAGCTGACTTTGACAATTTATTGTGAGTTCTAGGCCGCATGCTGCACTATAATATTCAGCTCGCCTGTTCTCGTGAGCCCCTACTACCGATCGGCAGCATTTTCTGACCATGCTCGAAAAGTATTGCAGGGCCCCTTTAAAATGTCGGTCACAAGGTGAAATACAGAAATGGGTGCATCTAGTACCCTTGCATTCAGTGATTTCATGCAGAATGTAATGAATGTAAGGCTGAACTGCCCTTTATTTTGTTCTCTCTTGAAAGGGTGGTGCCATCAAATTTGTGGCTGACAATTTCCATGTTACAAATGTTTTTTAGTGCTCTAGGCAGCATGATACACACTCCAAGATTCATATATTATTCCTAAATAATTTTATATCACCTTATTCATATGAACTACTTTCAGTTTCGGTTTCTCAGAGCTAAATTGAACAGTGTTGTCACTGTGTAGGAAGCTTGAACATGTGGGCCCACAAAGGCGTAAAGCATGCAGTGCTGCATCCTCTGCTCTCACACAGTCGAGCAAACGATTGCATGCATTCAAAACTCGCTGAAATTACCATAATAGAGAATATTAGTGCGTACGAAATTCAAGTATACACAAAGGTCTTCGGGAGTACCAGGTTATGAATCGATGGTAACATCTTGTGATGCTTCATGCAACGCGTTTCTTTGTTTTTGCTGAGTGATCGTGGAGAAAAATGTTTCTAAAGACAATGCATTCAGAACATTATTGCTGAGAAGTTACACCACCTGAGGTGTAGAATACATCTGATTTATGCAACAGCAATTCTGTGCTTGCCTAGTTCAACTTAATGCAAACCAGTGGCTCCCCTTACGCAATCTCCCGTTAACTGCTACGGCAACCAGGCATGCTAAAGCAAAGAAGTGTGTGAACAAATTAAAGTTCTCTAAAGTTGCCTTCGAAAGTTCAGGCGACTATTTAAAGTAACCGATGCTCTCTCGTTTGCCTGGGCAGCAGAGTTGCACCACTGATTGCATGTCACGCTAATATGGTATGGCATTTCTAAACTTTCACTTTATTTCCTACAAAGTGAAGCTGATGTCAGTTGCATTAGCGTTTGGTCTCGATCATGAGAATGAGAATTTAGGCACACCTTGTAAACAAATTAAAATATATTCCAAGCGTTTGCTGTGTCTAACAGTTTGACAGATTTTGTGGGGTTTAACGTCTCAAAACCACTATTTGATTATGAGAGACGCCGTAGTGGAGGGCTCCGGAAATTTTGACCACCTGGGGTTCTTTAACGTGCACCCAAATCTGAGTACACGGGCCTACAACATTTCCGCCTCCATCGGAAATGCAGCCGCCACAGCCGGGATTTGATCCCGTGACCTGCAGGTCAGCAGCCGAGTACCTTAGCCACTAGACCACCGTGGCGGGGCGTGTCTAACAGTTTATGCTAAGTGTCCTTGCATACAGAACAAGTCCATTGCAGGCTTTTTAAAGCCCCAAACTTGGTGGCACCATCTCTCTAAGACATAAAAGGACAAAGTAGTTGTAGTGCACAATGAACAAGTAATTTTTCACTGACAGTTCTGAAACAATCCTTATTTTGTATTGCTTCATGGACAGGTACAATAAAACGCACAGTTTACGGGGCCCGACATAGTGGTTGACGCCTTTAGAGTCACCCGAGTGCATTGGTGAATTGCCGAGAGGCCTAATGCATCTTCCGAAATGCACTAGCTAAGGGGTCTCCTGCCACCATTGGCAGTTCCAAAAGCCCCAGTTGCCATGCAGGCCAGGTATTGCACTTTTGTCATCAAGCAGCACTGTACAGTGACAAGTGTCATCACTAAAGGCCGGATTTATAGGCACTAAAAACTGCGTTTCAGGCGCCAAAAATAGGAGGGCAAAACACTGTTTTAGGCTCCCATAATTATGAATATAGACACAATAAACTTTGACAAATTTAAATTTTCGAAGAAATACGTGTGGGATCTGGGTCTATGACAGGAAAGCAAACAGAAATGTGATGGTACAAATGTGCTGATGGTTTAGCATAGCCATTCATTTTTTTCCCTACAGGGTTCACACAATACGGCCTTCCATTTCTAATTTCTAGTCCACAATGGTGAGTTAAGTGTCCAACTCCGAATAAACATGCTCCTGGGTATCTGTCTTTTTGACATGACTGAGAAGGACTACACAGGTGCAAATAATCAGAGCACAATAAGCCAGAAGGGTCTTTTACCTCTTATTAACTTGGTCTAACCACAAAGGCTCAATTTTTCTTCTGTCTGTGAACACCTTAAAGGGCCCTCACGCAGGTTTGAGAATTTGTAGAAGCCAAGAGAAATGCATGCACTAGGCGCTCATCATCACATCTGCCAAGATTTGCAGTTCTACGCGCACCATCGAGGTGAAATGTAAGATTGCACACCACTTCATCTCACGGGCGTGCGCCCCGACATGGTGGAGGTGATGTATACAACAAGGATCCTGCGTACGTCAATGTGTGCGTACGTCAATGAGAAACGGCGAGAACAATTCAAGATGACATGTGTAATTTGTGCAATCTGTTCCCTGAATGAAGTATGAAGGCTCACAAATATTAAATATACAGACAGAATCTATGCACATTATTTTTTTTAAGTTCGTATCGAGTGAGATGCGAGACTAAGCTGCCTCCATTTCATTTGCATTATGTTCTCACCATTCCCATATCATGCCGGTGCTAGCATTCACAACACTTGGCTTGTTTTTGGTGCACTGTCCCTTAGAGGAGTTATAGCAGTGCGATGCTGTATTATGGTAAGGATACTTGATCCCCAGCCTTTCCAAATGTGCGCGCATAGAGGGATCCATCTCACAAAAGCAGGCAGTACAACACAGAAAATGTTGAAACAACACAACACCGTTTGCGTGCACGGCCTGGCATGGGCATGTCATGCGAAAGTAACCTTACGCAAGCATGACGTGCTGATGCGTCCGCGTCGTGTAATCCTCCAGCTCAGAGTTGCTCCGATACCAAATAGGGCAGGGAAGGAATTTGGCTTGCGAAGTCCACATCGAGTGGGGCAAAGGTTTCACACTCACCTCCTCACATCATGCTTTCACAGAGTTAATGAACCAATTAAATAATTCTAGCGATACACAGCTTTCAATTAGGCACGTAACTACTTCCACTGTCTAAGTGAAATTTCTTATGTCACCTAGTGAAGTGCCATTTAAGAAGTTAATGATAAATAAAACAAACCCACATGAATATCATTTTTTTTAATCTACACTTGACCTTCCCCTGATTGCACTCCACGGTTTCACATTCGTTCTTGATCGTCCTGCCACAGCACAGAAGCATCTCCTGCTCCCTACGCAAGTGAGCAGACACTGGAGAGATGCCGAGTAGATGACACGACGCAGATGAATACTTGTGTAGAGACTAGTGGGCCTTACTATCGGCTAAGAGGCCTTGTAGGATTGACAGTGCTCAAAGTAACTTATGAGATAGAGTATAGATACCATCCCATAGTGTTCCAAAAGCTCAATTTTGCGGGTAACATGAATACCAGGCTTTAGCGGCACTTGAAAGCAAAATTTGAGGTTTAATAGCATTTATGTAGGCACCGATTTTTAAAACAGGCACTATAAAAGCACTCCAAATGCTCTTATGCTCTAATTTATGCCCGTATGTCAAAAGGCACGATAGGAACACAAGAAACAAAGAGACATTAATCCTGTCTCTAGTCATCACCTTTACTATCGCAGACCGGCTGGCTCTATGCTCGATTCTTTGCTTTTCTTCCCATTGTCGAGCCTCAGGGGTCGTCGCTCCTGTTTCAACACACGTGCAGAAGTGCGCTGTGCTTGACTGCGCAACTCCGCAGAAGCAGTGCCTCCATGTGCATTTCCACTGCCTCCCTTGTCTTTACTCTCAGCATTGGTTGAAGTCACTGGAGCATCAAGGTCAGGACTGCTGCTTCGATCTGATGAGGACGATGAACCAGAAAAGCTGTCCCACTCATGAAGTCGAGGGCAGGAGGAAGAGCACTTGAGCCTGAAATTTAGATAAGTGAGAACAACTTTACACAAAAGCGTAGAGAAGTATGTGTCAAAACATTTGTATGCAAGTACATACATGTTTGCAAGGAGTAGTCATAAGTACTTCATAACAAAATAATTCAAGGCGCCAATGAAAATCTATGATAAAAAGTTATACCACAACAATTTTGCAAATAAAGAAAAGCTACAACCCCCCTTACATGGTATGCCTGAGCCTTGGTTTAACAATATTTACCATTATATTTCTTGTTTCTTTAGTTCTGTATGGAGCGAAACCTCATTAACTCACTGTGACATTCAAAACTTTTTCCTGGTGCTAATTCCATGTCTTACAGCCCTTATCTCAAAATGTTGTTGTGCTAGAGTATGATTATTTTGAATATAACTACAAGAACAGCACAAAAGCCACAACCTAAAGAGCTTCATTACTGCATGTACAGCAACAATGTCACCTAACTGTGAAAAAAATAAGAAAATTTTATAGAACCATGCATTATACTTAACTTGGTTAACTAACATTGAATATAATTACACGAAGTCTTTCATAATAGTACAAATTGCAAATGCAAGGTAAGGGACAAGAGGTACAAAGACACAACCCTAATACCTTGTGTCCTTTTGTGCTTGCATTTAGTACCACTGTGAATTACTTGTTCTAACTAACCCAAACTGCTACTCTCTACAAAGTCTACTTAAGTACACTTTGCACTCTCTCACAAATTTTACAAGAAAGCAGCAGAATGCCATAGTGCCATTTTCTTGAAACTGTATCAAGTTCATTCCAAGCTGACAGGCGCTTACAAACATATCCGCAGCATGACAACAGGACATAAGCTGACATGCTACTCGACGATACAACTGCATGGCCATATGAGTAATTGCAACATTTGCGTCCCAGCAACGCCATCCTCAGTGTACCCTCTTTGTCACTCACCTCTCAGGCAAAGAAACGTAAGGAAGTCTTCTGTTTTTGGTCTTCGCTTGCAGGGCAGTAGTGTAGAAGGCTGGCTCACTGTTTCTTTTGAGTCGCGACATGGTGGCAAAAGCTTGACTGGCGTTGGCATGGGACTGTTCGGGTTCGAACCTTGAGCAAACTTGCGCTGAGCATGTACCTTTATCCTGCAGATGACACAAAATTAACCTCTACTTCAAAAATGGTGTGTTATCTATCTGAGGCTTAAAGGGTCCCTGAAGCAGTTTTTTGACACTGTAAATGTTTAAGCTATATCATCATCAAATAAATTGCAGCATAGATTAAGCAACACACTTTATATTAAGGCAGCTATGGGCAATTTTACATGCAACCTCACATCTCAGCTCTGCCTTTCCTGCTTAACTTGTTGAATGCACAAGTGTCACTGGCGACAATAGTGCACTCAACATATCGAGCCAGAGCCTCCAAGTTAAACTTGGTAGCGCACCGTTGGGCAGTGAGGATTAAGCAGATTACGGTGTGGCTGACAGAGGTTGGAACACTACCAACCATTTTTATTTTATTCTCTTGTACACCAACCATCAGCCAAAGCCAAATATGAGGCCAAACAAAAGTATTTTAAAACAATCACCAATGCACATAAACATAAAATTGTGGTTGTGTTTTCAGGGCCGAAGGTACAGCCACAGACACAGGAGCTCTGGCGTTGATTGGACAGTGAGAGCGCGATGATTACTGCATTGATGAGTTGAAGTGACTCTGCTTGCTAGTTGCCTTACATCCATTAAACATCATAGCTTTGAAAATCACCAAATGCTAGATTTATAGCATACAATGCAGCAAAGGCCATTCATGGCGTCCAAGAAAAAAAAAGCCTCGAGATAAAGTCTGTCACACAGCTTACAATAACAAAGCATGCTGTAACACAGGCAGATGATGCTCGCTGTTCACCGGAGGTTCAGTGACGTAGACTAGACATATACAAGATCGACTGCCAGTGCTACATGTAATAGAATAATGCTAGGCAGAATGGAAGCGGAACATTGAAAACTCGTTCGGCTGCACTGTTGTGTTATGTAGCTATTAGCATATTTAAGGTACTGTAATAAATTATGCACTAGACATTAAAAGCTTAAATCAGTCAGCAAATTATCCCTAGAACTCGCCTTAACTGGCTCAATCTGTTCATACAAAATAGTCAAAACTGCTTCAGGGTGCAATTAAAATTCATGACGACTTTTTTATCAGTATAAGCAAGCAAAGTCAATTACTGCCAAATTTTTGTCCATCACTAGATAAACCCATATTCCACTTACACCTGTATGCTTGCAAATCCTCAAGTGTGGCACAATCAGTGGTCACCATGCAGAACAAGTAGAACTGAAAGAACTGGAGCAGCACAGTGCCTCTTACCAGTAAAATTATCAATGCTATTCTGAGACACACACATACAATACACACACACACAGTAAAAGCAAGGAAAAACATAGCCCTTTATAATTATGCTGTCCAGAAACTGGTACTTTCTCTGAAGCTAAAGATGACAGCAACATGGCTTCATAACACTTGCCTTTTAGAATCTATGTCGGCTGCCTTTTTTGTAACAACAGTGGTTGTGGAAGTTTTTGGCGTCTGCTCCCGGCTATCTTCTGACGTATTCTCATCCAGTAACCGAGCTTTTTTCGTTTCATTGAGTGAAGCGTACAGTGCCTTTTTTAGCTGCTTCCTCCATCCAGTGAAGACCATTGCTACAACCCTGAGGACAAAAATAAGGCATTAATTTTACCTTTAGAAATTGAGGGAGGAACATGTGAGAAATAGCATAAGACCTCCCCCACCCCCAAGGGGCATAAAGCTTCATATTCAGTCATTCTCAAAATAAACTTTTTTTAAGCAAATAAGATAGTATACCTCCCAACATCAAGCAAAGCATTCATTCAAGCATACTTTAACAATACACATGCTTGACCATGTCACTTGCAAGTCATCCTGGTCAAGGCACACAAGGTGTGGCACAGTAGAAGCAGTTGGGGAAATGTTTGCCAGTGTATGATGCGAACAAGCAGATAAACTATGTTTGATAAGCTCACAAAGCATAAGATACTATATCAACAGCCACTATTTCTCACTCACATTTTAAGCAACCAGCCACAGGTGCACACTACTCACAACCACCAGCACTTTTGCTTCACAATGAAATCACCATTAAGATTGTCTCACCTTATCTCAAGGTTAAAACAATTGAGTTTAATGACCTTTTTAAAATGGAATAAACGTTGAAGGCATTTCAGAATATGCAACCACACTTTTCCTCTGTCGCACACATTTAAGAGCTATTCTCAATGTGTTCATGTAATGGACATGCTCGTTCGGCATTCCATGCTTGAAATTCAAGCGGAAAGCTGTGATGTCATCACCCCCTTGATGTTGTGAGTAAGAGTTCATAGGAAGAAGAAAGACGACAAGTAGCAGAAAAAATTGAAACTGCACGAGTGCGCACACCGTAACGTGAAGGACGAGGCGCATGACACAAGCTGTGATCAGGACGCAAGCAACGATGCTCGACATAGTCGACGTGGGCTTGCAAGGAGAAGGTTTTCTCGCCAATAAGTGCCCTGGCGACGGGAGTGGCAGGTCATCGAAACGGTAGCCTGTGACGCGGGCATCCAAGTAGCCGGAGACATCGACCTGGTCTGAGTGCAGCCTCTGGATGCAGCAACTACACGCAGCCATCGCCAAAATTCCTGAAAAAGTCTCCTTCGAACATAGGCGTACCAGCCGGGGGGGGGGGGGGGGCAAGGGGGGCACGAGCTCCTTGCAGAGAAAAGTTAAGGGGCTGAGTCCCCCCACTTTCAACAGTGCTCACTGTTGGCTGCACGCTGAAAAAGCAACAATTAGGGCGAAATTTTCCTTCCCCACTGCCTTGACAACAGACCTTTGTCAGAACAATCAGTGCTTGAAAGGCGGTATGATCTGTCTTCGCACAGAAAATCAGTGAAGGCCTTATTGAACTTTTTGTGTGGTAGTAGCCTATTGTATAAGCTACAGCACCCCAGCTCACATTTTTTTAATTTTTTGCATGTCTATTTCGCTCTTCGCTTTGCAGTCTTTCTTCCCCCTTCCCCCTGCCTTAGTCCAGGGTAGCAAACCTGATGCTCCAATTTCTGGTTAACCTCCCCTTCTTTCCCTCATCTTATTTTCTCTCTACAAGAGAATATTACAATATAATGAAATTTCTTCAACATTTTTGCTGTGACGATTTTCCTTATAGGCTATTCGCGGTGCGGGTCGCCTATGTGGCGCTTTTGCACCTTGTGCTGTAGCATGGCAGAGCAGGCCAGCACTGAACAGGGGCCCAATAACATTGCATAACTTGTACACGCTTTCGTTCTGCTGTGACTGGCTGATGCAGTTATGGATGCGAACGAGCCAACTTTTTATGGACTGGTCAAATCATCTGCTGCTTCAGGAAAATTATTTCCTTTGATTGAAAATGATATTATCACCGCTGCTTTGTCGAAGCTGCTGTGAGCTGATGAATGTTACGAATCTTCTTTAATGTTTTAGTGTTATCTGGAAGCGCGAAAAAAGGGTCCGCTTTAGTCTCCGATAAACCTGATCAGCCTTGCTTATGGTAACTTGGAGCGATAGTGGCAGCTTGCAAAGTGGCGAGCTCAGCTTTTCAGCTTGTCCCTTAACCTGACCCACCTGACCAAGGGGAAGGTGAAAGACTATGGTTTTTAGCACTATATAGGCTTAATTGAGACGGGCTAGTAGGTTTTCATTAAACTTGAACTGTCTTTTGCAGCTCAAAGTACATCGTGGACAGCAAAGAAGCACACACGTGTTGCACTGCTTATTTCTCTCTCTTCCTCTCTCTCTCTCTCTCAACAAGGACGAGCTCAGAGATGCGTGCACTCACAAACTATAAACGCCATGATGCTGCAAGTGAAAATATTTTATTCTATCATATTGCTCATCTCGTCAGCTGCTATAAGCAGCCGCTGATAATGTGACCAGCGGCTAGTCTACTTGAATATTATTTAAAAGAAGATGCTCTCCAACTACCCCAAATACCCCAAAAAGCTTTAGGTATTGTTCAGCACGTGAATGCCCTGTTTAATATGTATGCATTGTAATGAACACCATGACATTCCACAGATTCGTGACGTCATGTATAAAGCAGGTGATTTTATGGCACACAGACAATTTTAAATGCCGAAGAACCAATGGCAAACAATGTGCCTTATAGAAAATAGTTGACTTGCTTATTATTACGTGGTCGTTATAAGTGGTGTGTGTGTGTGTGTGCGCGCGTGCGTGCGTGTGAGGAACTATACAACGTTGTGGTGGAATAGTAGAGAAGGAGGAAGACGAAGACAAATAAATGGTTCATCGTATAGCCATCACGTCTCCTGCGTCACACTAGTCGACGGGATCTACCATCCCCTTCATCATGGCGACATGCAAGAAACTCATCAACATCCCGAAGTACTCGGAGCATCTACGGATGTCCCCTTCGCCAAGTGGTTCCGGCTCTTTGAGGCGAGGACTGCGGCCGCAGCATGGACGGAGCGACAAGCTGTGCTACTTCTCCGATTACCTTGAAGGTGAGGCTTTCCGATGGTTTCTCACCGAGGTTTTCGACACTGATGTGTCTTGGGAAAGCTTACCTGAACGCATGAAGGAACGCTTTACGAGCAGCGTCACAGATCCTTTTCGCCAATTCATTCATTGCCGGTTGAGAACAGGCCAGAGCTTGAAGGAAAACTATAATGAAAAATGTCGCTCGGGTGCCTCGCTGACCTAAAGGACGCGCACCTATATCAGGGCTCATCGACGGCCTTCCTGCGCATATGGAAATGGCGCTTGCTGGGCTTACCTCATCTACACCAGCGGCATGGCTTACAGCTGCACTTCGTGTAGAGTCAACCATGCAGAGAGTGAAGTTACATTGCCTTCCACCAGCTCAGAATACACAAATTGACGTAACAAGTGACAACACTAGTCAGTGTCCACGTAATACCGCGGTACCAACACCCGTGCGCGAGTGCAAACACTGCGCGATGGATGGTTTACCCCGACAGATGCACTGGCATAATGAATGCCCACGATGTGCAAGCATTTCCGCCCTCTCCACCAACGATGAAAACGAGGGGGGCGACCCAGAGTTCATGTAATTTAGTTTGATGCCCTCATTAACGGGTACCCTGTCAGCACTACTCTTGATACCGGAGCTACAATTAGCTGTATCAGCGAAGCAGTGCTGAAGGCACTTCACCTGCAAATAATGAGGAATTCATGCATCTCAGGTCAACAACTCACATCATCTACCAAACTTTGGGTCGCATTAATCTAAAGGTGCAGATAGGAAAAATGACAAGAGAAATTCAGGCTCATGTTCTACAAGGCATGAAGAGCAACTTACTTCTTGGCTTGGATAGTGCCTGCCTCTTTAGCTTGTCGCTGGACCTTGACACCATGACTCTATGCCAAGGGACTGACGTCCTCCATTTCGTACACAAAACCATACCACGGCTAACATGAGCGCGTCTTTGCAAGGTGTTGAAGTTTGCGATGTACTACATCTAAATAAAACTCAACAGTTGGCATTAAAGCAGCTTATCCACAGTACGACGGCATTTTTTCCAAATCACAGACAGGCATTGGGTGCATCAATGGCGAAATGCATCGCATTCATCTCACCAACAATGTTCCCATTCCTAGAGCTATATTGATGCTCAGAACCGACAGCGTTGAAATGGACAGACAGATCAACGACCTTCTCAAGGAAGGTGTCACACGACTATCCACCTCCCCATACGCTGCACTGGCACACTTCTGGCAGAGAGAAAAGGGGAAGGACGCACGCACTTCTGCATCGACTACCGCAAGCTAAACGAATTGATGGTGCCTGATTAACAGCCCATCCCTCGCATCGATGACGTTCTCGATTCTCTGGGGAAATCTATGTACTTCTTGACGTTAGACATAATGTCAGGTTACTGGCACGTGAAGATTCACCCTGATGACATTCCGAAAACCGCGTTTGTCACACGTACCAGTCACTACGAGTGGCTCGTCATGCTTTTGGTCTTCGGAATGCTCCGGCCACCTTCGAACGGGCTGTCAAATTCATATTGGCAAAACACCATTTGCAGAACGTCATGAATCACTTCGATGACATTGTTGTCTTCTCTGACACGTTTCCAGAACATCTGAGGCATCTAGAGGGCGTTTTAAGAGCTTTCAAAAATGAAGGCGTCAAGTTGCAATTAAAGAAATGTCAATTCGCTCGAACCTCCATTGAGTACCTGGGACACAAGGTTTCACATGGCACCGTCACTCCAAAGCAAAGCAACGTGGATGCGATCCTACAGTTTCCGACACCATCACGCCCTAAAGAGTAGCAGCGTTTTCTCGGCACAGTCAATGTTACCGTCGATACATCAACCACTTCAGTCAAATCGCTCACTCACTGACACGCCTGCTGGATTCGGAGTGTGAACTGGCTTTCACTCAGCTCAAGAAATGCGTGACAGAAGAGCCAATCCTTAACATCTACAATGCCGCTAAGCCTTGTGTGCTATACTGCGATGCATTCAAGAGAGGTATCGGCACCGTCTTGAAGCAGGCTGATGATGAAGGTTAAGAAGACCCAATTGCATACTATTAACGGAAGTTACTAAAACACGAAATTAATTACGCCATCACAGAACTCGAATGTTTAGCAATTATTGACACCATTGATAAATG